TGCGAGAAACCGAACAGTATTTATATCATTTTTTTACCTCTAATACACCACTATGTCCAATTGCCTTGAGCGCGCGCACGGCATCCGGTGCGTGAGGTGTGTACGCGCTCTGGCGTAGTTTACACAAGCGCCTGAAGTGATCTCTCGCGCGTATACGTCACTCATTGTTTACACAGTGCACAAACATTGTAGGTACGACGGCTAATCAAAATGGTACTTACTTGCGCTTACTTAATGGTACTTTCAAACCGACTTAAAACTAAAAGATTACGTTCTCTCGTGCGAACTCATTCAGAGAGTGGTGACTTCCCACGTATTCCCAACTTCTGAGCCTGCTCGCCTGAAGTTATGCTTGATTGCTCTTCGGCTGGATATCAACACACCCATTAACGTAAACTACGCCAGAGCGCGTACACACCTCACGCACCGGATGCCGTGCGCGCGCTCAAAGACAGCTGGACATATTGGTGTATTAGAGGTAAAAAATTATATAAATATTTCTGAAAATAAATATTTCTGAAACGATCGGTTTCTGGCACAAACCGATCGCTTCGTGTTTTATGAAAGTTAATCTACACAATCTCAAATTAATCTGCATAATCTCAAATTAATCTACACAATCTCAAGTTAATCTACATAATCTCACATAAAATATGAGCTAGAAATGTATAAACTGTAATTATTCAGAGCATTTGTCAATGAATTATTACATCAAGCTTGACGTGTGAGTGTTTTATGGGTTAAAACAATATGCCCTCATAAGGGTGAATAAAACAGATAATAATCAATTCTGAATGATATTATATTATATATTTTGTGTGTGTCTGTACAGGTTGATGCTGATGATGTCCTCACTAAAGAAGAACAAATCTATCTTCTGTTCAACGCAAAACGAAAATGTGAGCGAGCCATCAAGTCCAAATATAAAATTACTGGTAAGTTATAAATGTGTTTTTTTCTTAATTTCTAAATAAACAAACAAACATAAACTAAATTTAGAGTAACAGACTACTAATATCACCAGGGTGACAAACATAGACAGCCACTGTCACAGAGCGCTACCTAGAGTGCAGTTATCTTCACTCTCAGGTCAGTTAAGCATTGCTGAAGTGACATATACTGTATGATAGACATAGCAGGTGTTGATACATGTGTGCTGGGGTCAGGCCTCAGACGCCGAGGTGCTTGACTGCGACACATCCAATCAAGATGATGCTAAAAAGAAGTGACATTGATTAAGTTGGATCTCTCAGCAACACTCCATCAGACAGAGCCAAAGCCAACAGAATTCATTAGTTTCTATTGCACTGCCCTGACATGTCATTTTTTAAAGGTATACTCCACCCCAAAATGAAAATTTTGTCATTAATCACTTACCCCCATGTCGTTCCAAACACCTAAAAGCTTCGTACGTCTTCGGAACACAATTTAAGATATTTTGGATGAAAACCGGGAGGCTTGTGACTGTCCCATTGACTGCCAAGTAAATTACACTGTCAAGCTCCAGAAAAGTACGAAAGACATCGTGAGAATAGTCCATCTGCCATCAGTGGTTCAACCGTAACGTTATGAAGCGACGAGAATACTTTTTGTACACGAAGAAAACAAAAACAACAACTTTATTCAACAATTCATCTCCTCTGTGTCTCTCTGCATCACTGTAGCACCATTTTGGAGAATATCCGCTGAACGCAAGCAGCGTACACTCTTCTGTGTCAGCCGCGACACAAGGATACGTTTTCTACGTGTATTTACGCTTTGATTTGAATGAAAACAGCGCATCCGTGCAGCACGGCTGACACAGAATAGCATACACTGCTTGCGTTCAGTGGATATTCTCCAAAATGGTGCTACGGTGATGTGGAGAGACACAGAAGAGACGAATTGTTGAATAAAGTCGTTATTTTTGTTTTCTTCGCGTACAAAAAGTATTCTCGTCGCTTCATAACGTTACAGTTACGGTTTTCATTTTGGGGTGGAGTATCCCTTTAAGATATTTAAAAAGATGTCTGCCAGCGTCCTGTTTTATAAAACACACAGGAAAAATACTCTCCGTCTTAGAAAATGTTGAGTATCAAAGCCTGTCAAAACAAGTTTTCAGTTTCAATTCAATATCTTTATTGTCATTGTACTGAAAGAACAATAAGATAGGTTTGTTGGGAATATGCCTCCCTCAAGTCTGCCTTGGAAGTTTCTTCTTACAAAACTGGCTGTTATATGATTTTATGTTTAAAAAATAAATGCTTTGCTTTGTGCAGTTTCATATTTCTTTCTTTCTTATTCACTTCTCGACAAAGTAAAAACGCTTATTTAGTGGCAATAGAACAATACAATATATAATAATAAAAAGCAGTATTTATCTAACATTTATGCATACTTTCACTAAAATATTTAATCACATGAAAAATGCAATTGTGAGACTTCTGAGAACATCGTCGAGTGCTTTAGAATAACTTCCATTAGTAAGTCATTATCAAACATTATATAATGTTCAACAGATCAGTAGTTAATATTCAAATATGAGATAATGTGCTTGTAAATGTTTCTAATGAACTTACTGAACATTACATAATGATTTACAGATCAATAGTTTGTTTAAATTACAATTCTTACAAATTCAGTTCAATTTATAAATGGTTGTGCACTTGATAAAAATCTATGATTTTAATTTTATTTTTTAATGTGCGTTTGAATCCTTAAAAATGCCATTAAACTGATTGTTTGATTAAAATAATGTATGTATTATCTAATGCACCTTTTTACAATCTTTAGTAATCTTAAGCACACATTATTCATGATGACATATGATTCATGAACTTATAATCACAGTCTGTAAAGGTGACACATTTGCAATATTTCCTAATACTTACAGACTTTTACAAATCATTTTAAATTATTTGTTTGTACTTTTTCTTGAATTTGACATTTTAGCTACTGTAACACAATTTGAGTAAAAATTGTTTAGTTATGAATATTTACGCATTGTTAATTTTCTTGTTAATTTTAATATTAATATTCTTGCTTCATTATGCAATGTTCAATAAGTTCATTAGTAAACATTTACAAGCACATTATCTCATAACTGTAACTATTTGAATATATATTAACTAATGATCTGTTAAGCATTGTATTATGTTTAATGATTTATTAATGTTCTGTCTACCAGTATAGGTAACATATAATTGAATCACAGTTTTCTGTGTCTTATCCTTGCTTAGTGACCTAATGACGTGGTGTCTGAACGATACACTGGCATTGCAGCATCAGAAAAGAGCTGCTAAATGTACCCACAAGTTTCTTTGGAAAATAGCATAGCGCAGTTGTGTGTAATCCCTTTTGGCTGATTTGCCACACTAAATAGAGATCTGGGAATAGAGTGTGTGAAAGGCTTTTTTTAAATTTTATGGTAACCTCAGTTTCCTTTCACTGTGGTCACCTCATTCCCTGGTGGACCGTCTCAAATGCATTGTAAATAACCATTTTGGCGGCCTATTGTCATAACCAGACTGCAGTATTTCTTTCTTCTCATCACAGGCTTATTTTACTTGTGTTAAGTCACTTTTGTCTCACAGCATGAAACGGTTAAGGATGTTTATGTCCGAACTGGAGTGAATGCTAAGGAATCTCCATGTCAGACTCTCACTAGTTGGTTCTCACACAATGGGAATATGTGTGAGATATTTCAGTTTTCAGTTTTAGATTCAAACCGTAATGAAACATGGCATAAGCTGCAGTATATTAGTCACACAGGAAGATTACTTTTCCAAGACATTTGCAAGACATCCGGTGCTTAAAATAATTATGTGTTGTTAAGGATTTCAAATTCAAATTTGAGTATTGCCTTCAGCATTTCATATTTTTTATACTTATATAAAATGGTTTAACATATGCTTATAATGTTTTTTTTCTTCTTCTCAGAAGTAGTGATGGTTTTTGCCAGACAACTACTAGTCATTATTTTATTTTTAGGCTTTTGTGTTTGTACTGGACAGATTAAATTATTGTGAGCAGATGGCATTAGGACTTGCTGCAGACTGCAGGTCTTCTCCTTTTTCCATCATATATCAGCTTGAAGAGGCGTGTATATATTTATATATATATATGTGGCGAGCGGTGACTTTTTTAACCGAGTATGCTGAGTGATAAGACCCCATATCGGTTTTTAGGACACTCAAAAGGGATCACAGATGACAAATAAGAAACACGGTGGCAGGTGTCGATTTAAAAGTATGCACATTTCCTACCTTATTTGTAAGTGAAATTCATCTCCAATCCTTCTTCTATTGTTTCAGGTTTATCCATTGTTATTCAAATGCAAGAAAAATATAGCTGGTTTTCCAAGTAAAAATGAGCCAAATATTATTATTATTATTATTATGTTTGTTATTATTAATATTTTATATAGCCCACGTTTTTATAAAAAAAAAATAATAATAATTTACTGCTTAGGCAATAACGTTGACAATAACGTATATCTTCAACATACGTTGTCTATGACCAAAAATGTAAGTTGTTCAGTGGACTTTTAAAATTTGTTTTGCTTGAGAAAATAAAAATATACAGTTAGTGTTTTTTTTTTTATTTAGTCGAGTTGGTTTTGCATCAAACACAATGTAATTGTCGGCAATCGAGATCTGACAGCAACAGTGCATTTTTCCGCTTGGCCGAGCGCTTCGCGAACAGCTTACCTCGCACATTAAATCTGCCGCAGACCAGCAAATCACTGAGAATGCACTACAATCCTGACGAGTCATAGCAGCAGAGCAGAGACGAGAAAGCTGCCGAGAATCCGCTTGCCCGGAAGCAAACATAGCTGACGTAGATTTACAGAAAATTACTGCCGTTTAGCAAAAAAAATCATTTTATGTACTTACTCTAACTCTTTAAGCTTTAAGTTATGTTTCAAATGACAAGGGATCAACTTTTAATCATGTTTATATGAATTATTCCGTGAACTTATTCTCTCAGATGGGCTGGGTATGCGGAGCATTCGCAGCTTATGGACAGAACGCCACTGATATATATATATATGAAAACATTTGAAAATATAAAAACTAAACTATAAATCACATATTTACTCATGTATGATTTTAATGTACACTGTTGTTATTATTATATATATAATGCATTACACTAGTACACTAAGGTCCAAATAGTCTCTCACACTATTTGGTTTAAGTAAAGTAAATAGCATCTAACACTTTTTTCCCACTTATATATTTTTTGTTATTTATGCTTAGTGTAAATAGCATCTAAATCTATTTGCACTTAATGCCACTGCCCATTTTAAAGTTGTAACTTCTAAACCTGGAAAAAACTTCATTTAAATTAAGTTACACTTTACAGTAAGGTTTATTCATTAGTTAACATGAATACAATTTCTACAGCATTTATTTATCTTGTTTAATGTCAAAACAAGCATTTATGAAAACATTTTTTTAAGATCAAAAGTTGTATCTGTTAACATTAGTTAACACATTGTGAACTGACATGAACATGGACATTTTATTGTCTGACAAAGGTTAATAAATGCTATAAAAATCTATTGTTCATTGTTAGTTAATGTGTGTGCATTAACTAATGTTTCGTTTCAAATGACAAGGGATCAACTTTTAATCATGTTTATATGAATTATTCCGTGAACTTATTCTCTCAGATGGGCTGGGTATGCGGAGCATTCGCAGCTTATGGACAGAACGCCACTGATATATATATATATGAAAACATTTGAAAATATAAAAACTAAACTATAAATCACATATTTACTCATGTATGATTTTAATGTACACTGTTGTTATTATTATATATATAATGCATTACACTAGTACACTAAGGTCCAAATAGTCTCTCACACTATTTGGTTTAAGTAAAGTAAATAGCATCTAACACTTTTTTCCCACTTATATATTTTTTGTTATTTATGCTTAGTGTAAAT